TTCATCCGGAGTGGCTGGTGAATGCAAAGCACACTCCACCGCGGAGGGCTCCAGCTAGAAGTGCACGCCTTGCTGCAGCGGAGAAAGGGCTGCCTTGCTGAGCCACCACTCACAAGGCAGCTGGAAGCAGCGTGATGGAGCAGAAAATGGCCTGGTGAATGCGAGATTTCAGTTTCCACTTCTGTGTCTTGAGAATGTTCCCTTCCAGGGAGCCTGCTTCCGGCCCAGTCACAGGAGCCTTAAGTATAGCCTGACTGTGTGATAGATAAAGAAGGACAGTGAGAGACGGTGATGACGGCACTCGATCACTGGGATCATCACCAGGGATAAGACTGGAGATTTGCTGTCACCAGAAAAAAAATGACCTTTATCAATATAGTGGCCACAGGAGGCAACTTCCATCCCCTCAGTGTGGCTGATTCTGAACCAGCTAGGTTCTGGCTATTCCAGCGTGATTCAGAGACCACGTTAGCATTAGAATCGCCTGTGAGCTTATTAGAAATGCAGACGGTTGGGTCCCATCCAGAGCTACTGACTCCAACTCTGTATTTAACCAGACCCCCTGCTGATTCTCCTGCACACCCTGACTGAGCCGGGAGATGAGCCCTAGGCTCCCCTCTTTGTTGTGAAGAGAAAGCGAGAGAGCTGAGCTGTGATGCTCAGACTCTTTCCTTTGCGGTCCTGCATGTAGGCCAGGGAGAAAGTGGGCTGTGAGTCACTAGCCAGCCCTTCTTGCCTGCGGGGAAACTCGCTGACAGCCTGACACAGTGAGTCACTGGCACTCTCCTCTATTTAAGTTCTACCAGGTTCCTCCCCTCTCCAGCAAGGTGAAGACCAGAGTGAATGACCCAAGTCCTTTCTTTATGCAAAAGTCTTTATTCTCTTTTGCCTGTTGGAAACCATGTTCCAAAAGCATTCATAGAGGCTCCGACTGCATTCAAATGAAGGGTGCTCTGCCCGCCCATTCAAGACCCTCATCACCACCCTCTTTCCAGGCGCAGGCCTCATCCTCAGCTATCTGAGGCTAGCGGGTAGGTCGACCCTAACCACAGAGGTCGCTGGCAAACTTCTACAGACGGGCCCCCCTTTCATTTTCCCCATGTAGCTCCCCACCAAGTGCGAGGAGCAAAGAATTATATTACAGAATTTATTTTAAAGGAGAACCTCCCAAGCATTTTATAAATCTTGTAACTATTTCAAGAATGTCTGTGCTGTCAAGGCTGTGAGGAATGTCTGCTTCAGCATCCATCAACATCCTTTTAAAAATCCACCTCTGATGTGGTGAATGTGAAAAGTAGGGTCTATGAAAGAGAAGCGGGGCATTTCTTTTCTTTTTTTAACATCTTTATTGGAGTATAATTGCTTTACAATGGTGTGTTAGTTTCTGCTTTATAACAAAGTCAATCAGTTATACATATACACATGTTCCCATATCTCTTCCCTCCCTCCCACCCTCCCTATCCCACCCCTCCAGGCGGTCACAAAGCACTGAGCTGATCTACCTGTGCTATGCGGCTGCTTCCCACTAGCTATCTATTTTACGTTTGGTAGTGTATATATGTCCATGCCACTCTCTCACTTTGTCCCAGCTTACCCTTCCTCCTCCCCATATCCTCAAGTCCATTCTCTAGTAGGTCTGTGTCTTTATTCCCGTCCTGCCCCTAGGTTCTTCATGACCTTTTTTTTTTTTCCTTAGATTCCATATATATGCGTTAGCATACGGTATTTGTTTTTCTCTTTCTGACTTACTTCACTCTGTATGACAGACTCTAGGTCCATCCACCTCACTACAAATATCTCAATTTCCTTTCTTTTTATGGCTGAGCAATATTCCATTGTATATATGTGCCACATCTTCTTTATCCATTCATCCGATGATGGACACTTAGGTTGCTTCCATCTCCTGGCTATTGTAACTAGAGCTGCAATGAACATTTTGGTACATGACTCTTTTTGAATTATGGTTTTCTCAGGGTATATGCCCTGTAGTGGGATTGCTGGGTCGTATGGTACTTCTATTTGTAGTTTTTTAAGGAACCTCCATACTGTTCTCCATAGTGGCTGTATCAATTTACATTCCCACCAACAGTGCAAGAGTGTTCCCTTTTCTCCACACCCTCTCCAGTATTTATTGTTTCTAGATTTTTTGATGATGGCCATTCTGACCGGTGTGAGATGATATCTCATTGTAGTTTTGATTTGCATTTCTCTAATGATTAATGATGTTGAGCATTCTTTCATGTGTTTGTTGGCAATCTGTATATCTTCTTTTCTTTTTGTAATGAAAACCAGTGGAGTACACATGTTCATCTCTCCTTACATAGAACACGCTGCTGGCCCCAGTCCCTACTAGCCTTGCCCTCCCTTCTCTGTTTGCTTCAGAGAGGCAGTCAGGATGGGAATGTTCATTTATTTGAGTAGAGATGTGTCAAAGTTGGATTTGTTTTTAAACAAACGTTGCTGATGAGAAAGGTATATGAACGTTATCTTTAAGCCAGCTGATCGTACAAAAAGTTTGGTCATTTTCAAGTACGTATTAGGTGTTTGGCAGAAATTGGAAGCTAGTGTCCTAGCATGTGACATGGAGGAGCTCATGCTATGCTGTGTCCCCAAGCCTAGCACAGTCCCTGCCACAGTGTAGGTACTCAGGGAATGTCTGCGGCCGCAGGGGGCAAAGGAGTGGGAGAAACACAGCAGATACTAGGCAACACGTCTCACAGGGCCTCATCTGCTTCTCTCTGCAGGGCAATGTCGGGCACCAAAAAGACTGAATATTAAATATAAATCGAGGATGAAATGGAACAATGAAGATTTGCCATAACAGCCATCAGTCCTCCTGGTCTGTAGAACCCCACTGGGGGTTGGGAGCCTGCCTTAGGCCGGGTTCCCTAGAATAGAACTTGAGACAGGGATTCTTGTGCAAGTGATGTACAGAGAGTACTCCCTGGACAAGGGAAGGGAGGGGAGAAGGAGGGGGTGGGGAAGGGGGAGCTAGCGAGGATGTAGCCTCCCCGAGAGCTCAGGGAGCACAAGTTATACTGCCAAGTTGACCTCACCTTGAGGCAAGGGGCCATCAATAGTCACTGAGTCACTGACAGGGCGCAGAAGAGTTGGGGGGGGGCGTGAGGAGGAGGAGGGTGCACCAGCCCTAAAGGGGGTCTGGGCGGGGCACCAAGAGCATCCACTACATTCCCTTCAAGGTGCAGCTGGGCTCACCTGTCAGACTTGTAATAAATACCTAAGTTGATTTCTGTGGCTACATATAATTTAGGAGACATTTTAACACCCCTCCATCCTGACTCCCTCACCTTGCTCTATTTTTTTCCCACCACACTTATCACCATCTATCATGCTATATAATTCACCTATTTTTACATTTACTAATAGTTTATTTATTGTCTCTGCTCCCACACACTAGAATGTAGGCTCTATCAGGATAGGTATTTTTCTCTCTTTTGAATGATGTGTCCCAAGAATAGTGCTTGATCCATAGGAAGTGCTGGGTGAGTACGTGGTAACGAGAGTACTCTGAAGAGTGTATTCTGCCTGCCTGATGTTGTTCAGGGACTTCTGCAATGATTCTTTGGGTCCAAAGCAATCAAATTCTGGCCTGCATGAATAAGCAAGGAACTATAGCATGTTGGAGGAGGACTGTAGGGTCCCATGATTCTCAGGTTTCAGTGTGTTTAAGAACCACATGGGAATCTGGTTAACACTGGGATTCTTGGTCCCCACCCCCAGAGATTCAGATTCAGTAGTTCTGGAAGAGGCCCAAGAATATGCACTTTAAAAAAGTATAACCATTGATTTTGATGTAGGTGACCTGAGGCACATACTTTGAGAAACACTGATGGAGTCTGAAACACTGGCTAGGACAGTTATAAATAGCATCCCAGACCTCCCAGCTGATGAGCTGCAGAGCTGGGGTTAGACCTGGCTCTTCCAACTCTCAGCACTGCATGGTTTCCACTCACAGGCCCTCTTAATATATGTTTATAAGCTTTGCATGTACATTGGTTACCATGGGAACATAAAAGCCTGATGAAATCCTACAACTATAACTGGGCTTTGAGGCAACGGTAAATAGCTATCTTTAGAAAAATTCAGCTCCACAATTTATTGTGGCTTGTATTCCCCTATGTTCTTGTAGATTCTTCTAAAATTGTAAATGTGCTTTTGTGATGTGCTGATGCCATAATCATTTGACAGGAGGGAACACAGTGAGAACCAGGGCCGTTGCTCAAACTGGTTTGGGGGTAGACTAAAAAGACACAGGGAGGCCGTATGGAGAAACTGGAATGAAGCAGTATGATTTAATGTATGGTGAAGGACTTTGAGGTGGCCATTAACTGATTCAATGAATGAATGAATGAATGAGGGTTGGCTTAAAGGTATTTCGATGAAGAATATTTCATTCATCATAAACCCTCTGGTTGAGAGCATTGACCATCCTTAGAAGGAGTGTGCTTGGGGTAGAGTAATAGATTTACTCCCAAGAGTAAATCGTTAAAGTAAGAACTATATCACCAGGTGTGGCATTTACAGTGTGCCAGGGTCTAAGTTTTGTATATTATCCCTCTTGATCCTCATAACAATGCTCTATGTAGATTCTAGTATCCTCATGTTACAGACGAGGAAACCGAGAAGTTAAGTAGGTTGCCTAAATTCTCACATTTACAAAGTATCTAAGCTAGGTCTCGACCCTGGCAATCTGGGTCCAGACCTGCGCTTTTACCCAATCACTGCTGTCTGATGGAGCTGAAATAGAACAGGCGGAGCTTTTGTCTCCTGGAGCATCGCCCTGAGGGTTGATGAACCATTGTAAAATGGGAGCTGGGACGAGACTGAACTGCTTGTATGGTGGGGGACAGGGAGGGGGAAGATTGAGGAGGGAGGGTTAGGCTGGGGAGAGGAGAGGGAAGCACTGAATATAAACTTGGGAGAACAGAAATATCCAGGGTGGATTTCAAGTCGTTGATTCTGGAATTGGAGGACCTAAATCCTCTCCTCCTCTCCTCTTTGACATGAACCGGAAGTTTGCCATGCTCGTTACTGCGTTTGTCACGTGGATTCTTTTCTGGGAGAGAAGTTCAGAGAAAGAGCAGCCACTTGACTTCTGGCTTCACGGAAGAGGGGCAGCACTCGGTGGAAGATGACAGAGCTTCCCTCGACCATGGTGGGGCAAGTGGTGCACCCACCCAGACCAGGGTGCACCAAACAAGGGACTCGCGGAAAGCAGAGCGGTCTGCGGGGGAGGGGCCCTCCGCGGGGCCCTGGCTGGAAGGCTTCGGGAGGAATCGTGTTGCCTTGGCAATAGAGGCTTCGGAGAGAAAGGAGCGTGTGAGAGATTGGACTTGGTGGGGAGGGGCGGGAGGAGGGGACAACTGTAGTCCAGAAACGGAAAACAGAGCTGGTGACAAAAGCAGGCACCAAACCTCACACCAGAGAGGAACGTTATTTTCATGTAGTTTGCTATCAGGGAGAGGCCCTGGGAATAGGGATTTTCCCCAGAATTCATCCGAAATGGAGACAGGCTAGAGGTGGGAGGGAAAGAAGTGGGTCTAGGTCACGTGGGTGCAGAGCTGCTCCCCAGCCCCGTCCGCCGCCTCCTCTTCTCCATTCTCTGTCTCACTCCTCTGTGCTCAGCTAAGGTGTGATGAAGGCAAATGAAAGAAAGGTATGAAAAATGGTCACTAGACTTGACCTTTAACTCAGGAAGTATTTATACCTGAAACCAAGCGAGTTTTGTTAGCCCTAAAGAATTTCTAAAGTGCGTTATGGCTGGATGGGTTTGGGAGGGGCGGTGGTAGTCGACAGGGGTGGGTGTGACACGTGAGGCGGCTCCTTACTTCCTCCGGAAGTCTTATGCATCCCCGCGCCTCCTTGTCACGTGGGCCCTGAAAATGTAGTCGGGACAATACTTCGGAGAAGGCTGCCTGAGGCGGGTGTGAAGGGCTAGAGATAGCAGGTGAAGGAGGTGCTCCAGGAATAGTGCCCTGTGCCTGTTAAAGCTAGAGGAGGGGGAGGCCACTGCTGAAGATGCAGGAACATCGGCATCTTGGGTAACCCTATCAGGCCCTTGTTACGGGAGCCCTTGCTCAGTGCTGGTACTTCACTGTAGTCTGACATTAATATCCACTAATGTGCCAGAAACAGTATATCCTTGGAAGACTGGCTCGGTGTAGCCGAGACCCTCTCACCTCCCGACACCCTCTCCAAACCTAGTAATGTTCAAATTCTAATGTTACTGTGGCCTCTTGGGTACCCGCAGGCTAGGGAGGTCCAGTGATATTCGCGTTACATAACAAACGTATGAAATAGTTTTGCCTTGTTATTTTAAATTCAAACATGTTCCCTGATCTGTTTTGGTCTATGCATCTCTAATACCTGGGTGAAACACAGCTTAGTGGAGTCACCTCACGGCCCCTCTCAGCCCTGCACTAGTGTTTGGTGATCTGACCCCTCTGCTGCTTGAGCCTCCATGCCCTGCCGGCCACACTCACCACGTCATCGTCACAGGTCAGTGCTTTCCACCTTCTGCCCTTTAATGGTGGGCAGGCAACAACAGATCTATACAACGGTTGTACTTTAGGCATAAATAACGCAGTTTTTTTGGTTTGGTTTTTTTTCAAGTTCTCAGTTTATTTTTGAAGACTGAGATTGATTTTTTTTTTTTCATGGGGCATGACACTGAGGTTTGGAAAGGTTTTGGGTCTGGGAAATCCATAACTGACACGGAAAAGTTTATCAAACCCGATGGTGAGTTTTGGCCCTTGAAGGGCGAGACTCGGGAGGGAAGAGAAGACCTCCTGATTCCAGCAGAGGGCCAGAGTTACTCAGGAATAAAGGCTGGGGCTGGGGACTCTCTGGAGGGCAAGAATAGTCAAGCAAAGGGGAGGGCCCGGAACTCCCAGCAACTCCCTTAGTGGGAGACTCAGGGTATGACAGGGAGGGAAACACGAGGAGAGCACAGCACTGCAAAGCATGTTGATAACTGACCTTCCCACCCCTCTCGTCCTGTGTGTTCTATGACCTCTGGTAATTGTAGGTGCCTGGGTTCTGCTTGCTAGCCTCATTTCTCACCTTCTGAAGAGTGACCACTTATGCACAAGTTAAGGGCTAACGTCGATGTTTCAAGGGGAGCATTGCTCAAACAGAGCAGAGCTGACAGTCAGCAAGTACACACCAGTCTGGAGTCCCAGCTGTTAAACACCTTGGCCATCAGTCCTGTCAGAGTGGAGACCCTTGAATGACACTCAGTGGGGGGATGCTGGCACTGTGAGAGGCCAGCTGAGGGGCTTGGTCACTCAGTCACCCCCTAAACTCTCTTCGGGACCACCCTCAGCATCCACATGGTTTCGATTGTTATTTTCTTTCTCTTTCTCTTCTTCCTCCCTCTCCCCCTTCCTTGCCTGTACTGTTGAATACAAAGCGAACCACATGTGTTTTTGATGTGTCTCAACTGCATTTCCTCTTGACCTTTATTCCTGCTTATGTCTAGGTCTGGGCTTTCCTGATGGTTGATGATCTTTGGCTCAGCTCAGACCCCTGTCTTCTTGCCACTCACCCACGCGTGTCAGCCCTGTTAACACCAACATGTGACACCTGTTTTGGAAACAGGATTGGTAGCAGCATCCTCAGACTTTATCTGTAACATCTAGGCCCAGCCAGGGACGCCTATCGCCCATTCACCAAAACAACAGACGTTTCAGATCCTCTCTGTGAACACAGTGTTTCACCATCCATCACTAATGCATTTTAGTTACAAGTAGGATTGCCAGATTTAGCAAATAAGAATACAGGCTGGGGCTTCCCTGGTGGTGTGGTGGTTGAGAGTCCGCCTGCTGATGCAGGGGACGCGGGTTCGTGCCCCGGTCCGGGAGGATCCCACATGCCGCGGAGCGGCTGGGCCTGTGAGCCGTGGCCGCTGGGCCTGCGCGTCCGGAGCCTGTGCTCCGCAACGGGAGAGGCCACAGCAGTGAGAGGTCCGCGTACCCCCCCCAAAAAAAGAATACAGGCTGTCCAGTTAAATGTCAGTTTCAGATAAACAACAAATAATTTTTTAGTATAAGTATGTCCCATGCAAAATTTGGAACATGCTCATAAATTTAAAATTGTCTTTTGTTTATTTTAATTTCAAGTTTAAGTGGATGTTCTATATTTTATCTGGCACCCCCAGTTATAAGTCATGCAACACCAACAATAAAGTCTGAAACTTACTGACTTTGCAAACTGAGGCGTCCAAGGCCTGGGTTGGCTTCGGCATAGCCTGACACAGGGGGCCTAAATGACGTCACCAAAAACATGACTTGCTCTTTTTCCGCTGTCCAGGTCAGCCTGCCCCAGGTTGACTGCATTCTCGGATAAAGGTTTGACCTTGTGGTGACAAGATAGCTGTGGTTTTCCAGACTCATATTCTGTTTTTATTTTTTTTCTTAATAAATTTATTTATTTATTTACTTTTGGCTGCATTGGGTTTTCGTTGCTGCGCGTGGGCTTTCTCTAGTTGGGGCGAGTGGGGGCTACTCTTCGTTGTGGTGCATGGGCTTCTCATTGCAGTGGCTTCTCTTGTTGTGGAGCATGGGCTCTAGGCGCGCGGGCTTCATTAGTTGTGGCGCACAGGCTCAGTAGTTGTGGTGCACGGGCTTAGTTGCTCCGCGGCATGTGGGATCTTCCCGGACCAGGGCTCGAACCCATGTCCACTGCATTGGCAGGCGTATTCTTAACCACTGAGCCACCAGGGAATTCTCCAGACTGATATTCTTAAGGTTCAGAGTTGGTAAAAAGATGTTTTTCCAAAAGCTTTTCAGAGTCATTCCAATTAGATCAGCTTAGGTCACATGTCGACTACTAACAATCTTTGTGGCCAAGGAAATGAGATACCCTGATTGGCAGGGACTGGGACCAGCTGCTGGCCTCAGAGCTGGAGTCGGACATCCACCCAGACCCACGGACCAAGGGAAGGCTATCAGGGGACCTAAGAGTTGCTGCTGAAGAAGGGGAAATGTATATGGGGAAGGCAAACAGTGCATACTCTCCACTCACTTGAAATTAGATTGTGCACTGGGCAGTGCTCTTTGAGTTCTGCAGGGCTTATGAAGGCCTGGAGAGAGAGGAGGCAGGGGCAAGACTGTAGCAGTGCGGGGAGGCAGGTCTCCCCCTTTCAAACATCAGTGCCATCAAACTACTATCATCAGCTGCTTCCTAGAGTTGAGAAGCTTCACTCTCTGGCCCCTCTTTCCAATTACTTCCCAATTTATCATATTTGAGGCAACACATGAGACAGTTTAAGAAGGTTATGGATGGAATTTCTATGTCCCCTCCAAATTCATATGTTGAAGCCCTGACCCCCAAGTGGCTGTATTTGGAGATGGACCCCTAAGGAAGTAATGAAAGTTAAATGAGGTCATAAGGAGTTAAATGAGGTCTAAGGGTGGGCCATCATCTGATAGTATTAGTGTCCTTTTAAGAAGAGACACCAGAGAGCTGCCTCCCACCGACACCCATCCCTACCACCAGTACACAGCAAGAAAGTAACTGTCTAAAGCCAGGAAGGGAGTTCTCACCAGAAACCGAATTTTCTGGCACCTTGATCATGGAATTCTAGTCTTTTCTTACAACTATGAGAAAATAAATGTCTACTGTGTAGGCCACCCAGCTAGTGGTACTTTGTTATGTAGACTAATACAAAGAGTGTGGCTGAATCTCAGTGATAAACTTCATTATCACATACCATTACAGGTAGAAAAGGCTTTCAGGATGTCTAATGACCTGGAGAGACATGATCTATCAGAGACAGACATGATCTATCAGATGGCTTTTCTGTTTATCCGTTTGCAAGGGCAAATGGCTTGGAATGCTGTAATGCCCCCAAGCAGCTCATATTCTGCTGGGGAGAAACAAACACATAAATAGATAATTGTAAAATAATGTGGTTAGTGTACTGACCAAGCTATACACAGCATATTATGACTATACAAAGTATATTCATGAAAAATGGTTCATTTTGAAAATCTTGCCTTCATTGAAAGAAACCTAATACAGAGTGTATGATATAGTTGAATATATGCCAACTATGACCCCACTAACGTAAACTACAAAGATGCTTTTAAAATGAACAGAATTTGCAAATGTTAATATATTCCACATATTTTAAATGGTAATATGACTTTACCACAAATTCATCAGGGCAGTCAGAAGAAATGTGATATTTAATGAGGAAAGACTTAGTTTAACTAAGTCACTGAAAGATAAGTTATTATGTAACCTAGTGCTCAAATTCATGGAAAATAATTTTTTCAAATACATGTGACATTTAAATTGTTTAATAAGTCTTTTTGGATATAGCAATTAGTCCAATGCCTAGAACAGAAAGCATTTGTGAATGAATGAATGAACAAATGAGTAAAAGAATGAAAGCCAGTAAGAACACTTGCGTTCTAATCTTGGCTTTGTCACAAAGTAACCAATTAGGTAAGTCAATTAACTTCCCTCGGAATTTCTTTCTTTTTTTAAAAAAAATTATTTATTTATTTATTTGGCTGTGTTGGGTCTTAGTTGCAGCACGTGGGATCTTCATTGCAGTGTGCAGGCTCTTTGTTGTGGTGTGTGGGCTCTCTAGTTGTGGCACATGGGCTCAGTAGTTGTGGTGCACAGGCTTAGTTGCCCTATGGCATGTGAGATCTTAGTTCCCCAAGCAGGGATCAAACCCACATTCCCAGCATTGGAAGGTGGATTCTTAACCACTGGACCACCAGGTAAGTTCTGGAATTTATTTCTTAACCAGTAAAATTAGGGGGTAGAATTTATTGGGGGTTTCAATCTTTAGCCATATCACTCTTTTTTCAAATAGAGTATTATTTGGAAGATGGCTGTCAGTGGAGGGGTGTGTGTGTGTATGTGTGTGTGTATGTGTGTGTTATATGTGTGTTGTGTGTTGGGGTGCATTCTTGGTTCCTTTTCATCTTCCCCTCCCCTGGTGATCCGAGGGTCACATCCTCCAAAGAGTAGAGTCTGAGAGCTACTGGTCTGGAGGATCCCTGAAGTCATTTCCAGCTCTGACACTGGATAATCCTATTATTGCCAACCATTTGGCCACAGAATACTAGTTGAGAAAATGTCAGAGAAAACTTAAGCCCATCTGTGGAGAGAGAATGGGGAAAATTGGGACATTTTGAACTGACCAAACTTGGTAGCATGTCTGAGAAGCCAGAAACAAAAGACAGAGCAGCTCTTTATTCTGATTCACTTTTAGATTAGGTTGTTAAATGGAGAAAATATAAATTAGCTTAGGCCCAGAGTCAGGTCTTCCAGAAGGATTCAAGGGGCAATTTCCCCAGCACAGTGAGGTGGCTTTTCTCAGCCTTCTCTGTTTAATGCTCTCAGCCAAAACATCACAGAGGAGAACTCCAGGCTTGAGAAAGTCATGCTATTAATACTAACACAGCCCGCCCTACTGATAACAGATGTGGTTATAATGGGAGCTGAGTGAACAAAAACACATTTCCCCAACTCCAAGC